AACTGTGGACGGCGAAGAAGTAATGGCGCTAATTGACACTGGAGCAGACACTTCTGTTATGAGCATGGGTCTTGCTTGCAGGCTGAAGAAGGTTTCTACCCAGTGGGCTGGGTCGCAGATACGTACGGCAGGAGGCCATCTTCTTACTCCGGTGGGGCGGTGCACAGCGCGAGTCAGTATTCACAGATTTACGTATCTCGGAGATATTGTAATACTGCCGAGTTGCTCGAGGGACCTAATTCTCGGACTGGACTTTCTGTGTGATAATGGAGCTGTGATTGATTTGCAACAGTCGCAAGTGACGTTTTCTACGGCACACGCTTTAGCGCGCAACCCTCACGGCAGTTACGTCCATGCTTTGAGAATTCTTGACGATGACGTCACGTTACCGCCGAAGAGTAGCGTGTTCACCTTGGTAGCCTGCGACGTTTTCGACGAATTCAACGACTATGAAGGTATTGCTGAGGCAAATATCCCGCTGCTGCTCAAACGAAACATATGCATAGCCCGATGCCTTGTTCGGTTAGAGAATAAACGCTCTCGAGTTCTGCTGACCAACTTCAGCAATGAGTTTCATCACGTTCTTAGAGGGACTACTGTCGCTTTCCTCAGTGAAATAGCCGACTTTTTCGATACCAGCACAATGGATACGACTTCACCGCATGCAAAAGCTTGTGCTGACCTGGGAAGCCGCATTCACGTTAATCCAGACTTGCCAGATTCACGAAAAGAGCGGCTGCTAAAACCTTGTGAGGGAATTCTCGAACTGCTTCTCCACAGCATCGAAAGTTCAGCGTACCACCGGTACAAAACACCGCATTGTTACCGAGGAGTCGGCGCGGCCTCTTCGCCAACATCCATACCGTGTGTCCCCGAAGGAAAGAGAGGTGATTAAAGCGTCAAGCTTAAGAAAAGCTGAATGATGACGTCATCCAACCCTCGACAAGTCCGTGGGCGTCACCTGTTGTCTTAGTAAAGAAAAAAGACAACACACTACGCTTCTGCGTCGACTATCGACGGCTTAACAAAGTCACAAAACGCGACGTTTACCCCCTGCCACGGATTGATGACGCCTTAGACCGTCTACGCCACGCCCAGTTCTTCACATCACTAGATCTCAAGTCAGGGTACTGGCAAATTGAAGTTGACGAAGGCGACCGTGAGAAAACCGCGTTCGTGACGCCTGACGGGCTGTACGAATTTAAAGTGCTGCCTTTCGGTCTCTGTTCCGCTCCCGCCACGTTTCAACGCATGATCGATACTGTACTAGCTGAACTAAAGTGGCAGACGTGTCTTCTATACTTGGATGATGTCGTTGTGTTTTCAACCACATTTGACGAGCATATTTCAAGGCTAAAAAGTGTCCTCACTGCAATAAGGAGAGCGAACCTTACCATCAAGCCCGAAAAGTGATACTTCGGCTATCAGGAACTCAAGTTTCTCGGCCACGTGGTTAGCCCGGGGGGGTGTTCGACCAGATCCGGAGAAGTTAGCTGCCGTTGCCGATTTCCCTCGTCCTGGAGACAAAAAGGCTCTTCAGCGATTCCTTGGACTCTGTGCGTACTACCGCCGTTTTGTCGAAGAATTTTCGAAAATTGCGGAACCTCTTACAAGACTGACACGGCCAGATGTACCTTTCGTATGGACGGAAGAACAACAACAAGCCTTCGTAGAGCTGCGCAATCGACTGCAGACAGCTCCAGTGCTGGCACACTTCGACGACACTGCCGACACCGAGATCCACACAGACGCCAGCAACGTGGGAATCGGAGCCATTCTAGTTCAATGGCAGAACGGCGCAGAGCGTGTGATCGCTTACGCGAGCCGCAGTCTCACAAAAGCAGAGGCTAATTACTCTACCACCGAAAAAGAGTGCCTAGCAGTCGTTTGGGCCATTAGCAAGTTTCGACCCTACCTATACGGCCGGCCATTTTGAGCGGTCAGTGACCACCATTCGCTCTGTTGGCTTGCCAATCTACGGGATCCATCAGGCCGCCTCGCCCGCTGGAGCCTCCGCCTTCAAGAGTACGACATAACGGTGGTCTACCGATCAGGACATAAGCATACAGATGCTGACTGCCTGTCTCGTGCTCCTATTTCCCCGACGTCATCTGACACTGAACAAGATTTACCGTTTCTTGGCATCGTCGATGTGGTGCGGATGGCTGAGCTTCAACGTGAGGACACTGAGCTACTTCCTGTCATCCAGCATCTTCAAGGAGAAGACGTTATCGTCCCACGCCGACTCTCACGTGGTTTGACTACGTATTGCCTGCGGAACAATGTTCTCTACAAGAGAAATCTTGAGAGCAGCCAGGAAACTTTCCTCCTCGCCGTTCCAATGGCACTGCGTGAGGAAGTTTTGCAGGCGTGCCACGACGATCCTTCGGCCGGTCACTTAGGCTTTGCTGGGACATTAGCGCGCATCCAACAGAAGTACTACTGGCCACAGCTGTATTCGTCCGTTCAGCGCTATGTCCGCACCTGCCGTGACTGTCAGAGGCGTAAAGTTCCACCCGCAAAGCCCGCCGGTTTCCTCCAACCTTTATATCCACCTCGAGCACCATTTCAGCAAGTAGGAATGGATCTTCTTGGTCCCTTCCCTACGTCATCCTCAGAAAATAAGTGGATAATTGTCGCGACTGACTATCTGACTCGCTATGCAGAAACCAAAGCTGTGCCTAAGGGAACTGCAGTTGAAGTCGCCAGATTCTTTGTCCACGACATTGTTTTGCGCCATGGTGCACCTGCTGTTCTCATAACCGATCGCGGAGCAGCATTTACGGCAGAGTTATTGCAACAAGTCACCAAGCTGACGCACACCAACCACCGGAAAACAACAGCTTATCATCCCCAAACAAACGGCTTGACGGAGAGGTTAAACAAAACATTGGCCGACATGCTATCTATGTATGTTGACGTAGAGCACAAAACGTGGGATGAAATTTTGCCGTACGTCACGTTTGCCTATAACACCGCTGTGCAAGAGACCACAGACCTAACACCATTCGAGCTTGTTTATGGCCGTCGCGTCACAACACCGTTAGACGCTATGCTCCCTGTAGACCAGGACAACAGCGGAAATGACAGCGTTGTTAACTTCGTTGAGAAAGCCGAGGGAGCCCGCCAGCTTGCACGGAACCGCATTCGCGCGCAGCAAGATATCGACGCTCGCCGTTACAACCAAGGCCGAAGGAGCGTCCACTATTAACCAGGTGACTATGTATGGGTGTGGACACCAGTTCGACATCGTGGGCTTTCGGAGAAGCTATCGCGGCGCTACTTTGGCCCTTACGAAGTTGTGCGCTGCCTCAGTGACGTGAATTACGAGGTAGTTCCCCAAAGCTCCGACACTAGTTTAAACCGAAGACGTCCACGTCCAGAAGTAGTCCATGTAGTACGGATGAAACCGTACCATGCCCGCGACTTATGAACACTTCGAACTTTTTCCTTATTATCCACAACAGCGTGGGTTTTTTTTTTTTTCATTGACGTGATCATTTTTTTTCTTTCATGGTCACCTCTAGCATCTCAGTCAATCGACCGGGATGGTCTCTCTTGAAAGGGGGGAATTGACGCAAGGTAGGCTGGCAACTATAGTAGCCAGCATCTGAAAGAGGACAACGAAGTAGATCTGTGTGCGCGTGCTCTGGTGTTCGCGTTTCTGGCCCTTGGGTTGCGAAAGTAAACGCCCTATTTTGTACCTGCGTGCCTGTGTCTTTGTGACAATATGGTGGTTTTGAGACGTTGAACCCCACATATCAAATCAAATCAATTTCCTCTCGTCTGCTTATCGGGTATTTATGTGTACGCAGACCTGGGAGTTATAGTCAGCACCGATGATAGCAATGACGATGGTGAGAGCATTGGGGTGCGTAATCCAAAGGGTGCAGGTTCACTTCCTGCCGGTGGCAGGCTGTCTTTGCGTCCACTTCACTTTCTTGACGTCCAATGTCACTATTACTGCAGTAGACGCAAAATGGTACAGTTAACGTCCCCTATAACTTCCCTGACTTCGTTATCCGCTGGTGTTCGTTGACTTCGTCATAGAGCGAGAGATATCGATAAACGGCATATTGACAAAAAATACCCGTCCTTTTTAAGGCAATAACTTGCTCTTGTCGCAGTTATTGCTGCCTTGATAAAGACGAGTATTGGCAAGTGGGAGGTCAAAGTAAGTGCTACGACATTACTGTGTGGAAAACTTTAAAAGGCCCCTAAACCATTGCAAATGCAGAGACGAGATAGTGCACCTTTCGCGCCTTCCCTACTTTTCATATATGTGCTATCTTTTCTTTACCACTTATCTATTAAAAAAGAAGAACTCGTGGAGGAAGTCAATACCAAACATTGAGCCAGCGTGTATTTCGCGCCTTCCGGTTTCACGCTGTTATCTGCACTTGCACAATCAAAAGCGTCCAAACGAGGTGGAAGCAGTGTATCGCACACGATTGTGACGTGAGAGAAGGCAGAAAGAGCATTCAACTACATGGAAAAGCAGAGTAGACGACAAGTCGCGACGTATTTACCCCGTGTATTTACTATTCAATAGCTTCCTTCTCTCAAGGCTTCACTCGAACCGCCTACAGGCGTCACGAACAGTGTCGAAAACGCGGTAAACGACAAGAAACGTCGGCGCGTAGAGCAACACTCTCGTTCTTCGTATTTTGGGACGTTGTTTAGGGCAGTGTTGTACGAGACGGCGTTCTTATAAATGATGTTCCAAAATCTAGTTCGTTTTTGGAGGGAGGAAACAGTGCCATCATTTCATTGAGCATTCCATTTCGATAGAAAATTCAAATGTAACGGTAATGTAAAGACACGTTCGAAATGAAGCTGTAACGAGTAGCTTTTGCAGTTAGGGAACTCGTAACGGGAACTCGTTCCAAAGTTTGAAAGGAACGAGAAACTAGCTTTAGTTCCTGTTTCAGGAGAACGTCTACAACATTGTTTTCGGGGGCCCCTTTAAAATAAGACAAAGTAACGCGCACATTTCTCACCTCCAGTCCTGTGATCTCGGTGCTTCAGAAATTGGGACTCCGGTGAGATGGCATCCTTGGTGTCGTTGCTGTCAACGTACTTTTCCATCAACTCTCGCGAAGGGTACGATGTGAAGCCATACGCGGACACAAAGCGGGCCATGGGGTAGTTCTGGAAGACCCAACCGTCATCGTGATAGTTGAAGTGATGAACTGCGAATGAAACATTTAGCGAGACGTTTGTGATGCCGGTCGGCCTGCAAATGCTATCTGTTTCGCTTCACCACAGCGGTGAAATAATGCTTAATTCATCATAAAGTTAAGTTGCGCAAACAGTATAATAATTCAAACGTTTCTGTACTGGCGAGCCTCCACCAAAATATTAACACATGAAATAATAAACAGAAAGTGCAAGAGTACGTTAGCTTACATAAAGAAGAAAAATGAAAGACAGCAATTTGTTGTTATTATTATTATTATTATTATTATTATTATTATTATTATTATTATTATTATTATTATTATTATTATTATTATTATTATTATTATTATTATTATTATTATTATTATTAATGTGGCTCGTGACACAGCTTTTGAAGTTCCAACGCCAGATGTCAAGAATTCTTACGCCGTCTAGTGGGTCTTTCTCGACTTAATTGCGTGTATTGGCTACACCGTATTTCCACCGTATTGCACCAATTCGAACATTTGAATAGATGTATCAGTCACACTATTTTAAGGGCCTTGATAATCTTGCGTGAATTATTATTAATCTTTGTTTCTTCAAATCATAAAAATGGTTATATGCATATATATATATATATATATATATATATATATATATATATATATATATATATATATATATTACTACAACAATAAGTCTATTTAACAAGCAGCCTTAACGAGCTCACCGTCACCGTAGCGCCTGGTGTTTGGGTTTGCGGCAATGGCTTCTTCGTTGAAGCTGGCGTTGCCGTTTGTTGGGCTGGACAGGATGTAAGGTCGTGAGCCGTCCTCGTGCTCCACTATCTTCTGTATGGTGCCGATGAAGAGCAGGTGGTAGTCGAGTCTGTGTCGCATATCACGAAGCAGCATCTCCGGCCTGCGAAAAGCTTCGTCACAACAAGGCCTCGTAACGTGTACAGAGATTCGGTTTGCCAATCACTCTCAACCCCCGCCAGAGTTTTCATATCTCACCGAGATAAGAAGCAAACAATCATTATAAAATAAGCACTCAAAATCAAAACAATAATTTCTCTCACTTCCAAAAACATTGCTAATCATTATAAAGAAGATGTCGCTTAAATGCCAAGGAGATTCGACAAAATCTTCAATTATTTTGTACTGTGCAAAGATGCGCAACTATGAAACAAATCGCGTGTTTAACTCTTGCGAAATGGCAGAACACGCATGTACTGTGCAATCTCAGTGCATGTTAAAGAACACCAGGTGTAGAGCCATCAACGCTTTATCAATTTCCAACATCACGATCGAATGACACTTGCTACAGCATAGATAGAGAAAGAAAACTACGTTGAAAATGACAAATGTTCGACTTCGGCACATGTGTCATGGAGAAACGCGGTGTAATTGAACAACGAGCGTGCTTTAAGTGATCCACAAAAGCGCGATCGGTGAACGTGATGGACGCAAAAGTAACTATATTGGCTAGAATATAATTTCAATACGCCTATGCTAGAGTATAATGTAAAGCACCACTGCGCACCGGCAGCAGCTCACGGCATGTGCAGGAATTTTAGGGGCGCGCCTACAGCGACCACAGATAGTACCTAGATGGTAGTATAGGAGATAGTACCTAGAGTAGGAGATAGTACCTAGAGTAGAAGATAGTACCTAGAGATAGTACCTAGTACCGGCAGGTGCGCAGGGGATGTGTATCACGCTTCAAGTACTTTTAACGAGATATTCTTTGAACCAAAGGGGGCATATAATTATATGGAGTCACCTGTGCTTTTCACAGTCCAGCGGCTGCTTTGAAAAATAACTTCACTGAAAAGCCTAATTGAATACATTGTGCTTGCTTCCCTTGTTATTTCTTCCTCTCACCACCGCACGCTTCCTTGTAGCAGTGGCTGCGATAAACAGCCAAGCCCGCATATATTAAAGATGTGATTTTCGACTCAGTTTTTTTTCTGTGTATGCTGTAGCAAGTGTGATTCGATCACGATGTTGGAAATTGATAAAGCCTTGATTACCCACGCTTTCTCCGAACAAAAGTTATTGTTCGGATTAGGCCCTTCGTCTCTTCCTTTGCTGCTCTTCGGGAAAGTGTTTTTGCTACGTACCACCACTTCGAAGCGATTCCTTGCTCAATCTCGTAGTTACCGGCCCACAGGACAATGGATGGATGGCGTTGCAAGCGACGAACCTGCGCAGTGCCGTTCTTGGTTATCAGTCGCGAACTCATTTCGGATGGTGTAACGGCGAACATTTCCGGGCTCTGTTCTGCAAACGGAGGGTCTCCGTGCTGTTTATGAGTTTACCAAGAAAAGCACGCACTTAAGCAAGCAAGTTACGGTAGAGAAAAATAGAGATGCATTACGTAATTGACTGTAATATCACGTCATGATCCTATTCCGATCCTGTTCATTGGTAGCGTGCGCCGTTTTCGCCTTCCAATGAACCACCACCTATAGATATCTCGATGTGTTTTTTTTTATATTAAACACTGGTCTTGTCGTCAAGCCTCATTTACCGCCAACATGTCTTCTTAGGTCTCCTTTAAAGAAGCTCGGGTGATGTAAACTATGCTTTGTGTCCCCATAGAACACCCTAGTGCCATATGTTCCTTTCCCTAAGCGCCAATTAGTAGCAGAATGTAAACGTGGCCCGTAAACATCACTCACCTGCTGCTGGACTTCAACGCTGACGTCTGCGAGGAACTTGTTGTGCGCCGGATAGAGGCTGGTGGCGAACATCATCTCCTGCCAAACCATGATGCCCATCTCGTCCGCCAGGTCGTAGAATTCGTCGGACTCGTAGTACCCTCCTCCCCACACACGAAGCATATTCATGTGCACCATCTAGAAATTCGGAGACGGAGGTAGCCGAGTAGCTGAATTCATTCCAAAGTACACATTCCAACGTGCAGATGACACATCTATGCAAGATAGGCCAGCTGTATACTTAAAAAAAGGAAAATACAAAGTGATGGTATTTCGGCGCATTTATTTTGTAATACTGGTGCTCCATAGTTGAGCTTTCATAACGCGTGTACACTGTGTGTGAAGTTGTCAACACTCTCAATATTTTTTTAATTCGTGTTGCAGTAGATGCCTGGATGAAAAATTTACTCTATCATAAAGGCCCGAACGTAATGCGCAATATGCTCATTTAAAACTGGTGGTACTTTCAACGTTGCACAGAATTTCGGCCATTCTATCGGGACTGCCCAGTCCCCCAAAACAAAATATCTGCTCGTAGCGAAATGTATATCAATATTTCGTAAATATTTCGTTTTTCTCACATTACAGTGTTGAACGATTCATCCCACCTTGCTCGAAGCGGACATGTGACAAAAATCAAAACTCCATCAACACCAAATAAGCTACGCCTTGCATCAAAACATACATACTACAGGACCAGTAGCGTCCCCAGAATTTTTTTCGAAGAAGGGAGAGGGTGTTCAATCATACTTCATGTATGTTCGTACATACGTTTTGGTGTTTGCGTGTATATATACGCAAGTAAAATAGCAAAAAAAGTTTGGGAGGGAGAGGGCTGCACCCCCTCCGGCCCTTGGTTATGCCCACGCAAAGAACCGAGAGCAGATCGATGCTTAGCGAGGAGTTATACCTTTGCTGAGTGCAGAAGACTATGGAGGCGTTCCGGAGTCACCGTTTCTGGGAAGCTGTCCGCGGGAATCCAAGTGCTGCCTTTGGCGAAGATGGGCACGCCGTTCACCTCAATGTAGAACTCCGCTCCGTTCTTCTCTGCAGCGGTGGAAGGTGTTCTCAGGGGACGTATCATTGAACGCGCATAGTTGAGAAAATATGCGAAGGGGTTCAAGACAATTGACACAACGCCTCACAGCGAAAGCATGGGAAGACATAGAGAGCCTCCAAAAGTTAGTTCAACCACACTACATCGCACGGCAGTTTAAAGTGGCACTTTATAGATTTTTGTATGTCATTTGGTACGTAACTCGTTTATGGTCTCGCACAATAAACTAAAGTCGGATGTAGCTCTAGAAGTCCGCGGTATTTTCTCCTCAAATGCAGACAATGCACATGCGTGTACCGATGGCCACGCATTTCAGACTGACGTCATGAGCAGTACGGCCGGTGGCGCCGCCTTCGGAGAACATTGGCAAGTGCACGAGCGGGAGTAACAATTCAGCCGGGGTGGTGATCAGTTTCCATGCTTCGGGTGTGTGGCCGGGACCTCTTCGGACTTGTTAAGCTGTATACAACTGTATAATTATATTAATGATGCCTTTTTAAGGCGCAAAACACATCAAGACCACACAATGTCTGCGCGTTGCCATTGTCTACAGCAGATTAGTACAGGTGCGTGTGAACAAACTGAAACATGTGTGATTTATAAAAAAAAGTTATTAAAACGCTGTTAACCAGAACAAAAAATATAAAAGGTTGCAATTGACACCGTAAACAGGCCGACATTTAACAGCCAATCAATTAAAGAATATGACAGCATATAACAAGAACAAAACATAACATATAAAGCATATAACAAGAACAAAGTAAACTGCTATTAGTCAGAATGAAATAGCAAGCCATTACTCAGGATTTCGTGCACATTGCTTCGCCCCTTCATCAGCATTCATTTCATGGGTACGGAGTGAGCGAAAAGAAAAGCAACTGTCCGCTTCACTAAGTTCTCACCCCCCCCTCGCCTTCTTTACATACATGAGGCAGAGGTGGTGACAGACACAGAGCACTAGATGCAATCAAGATAGACGGCAACAACCGAAGTAGGCCTTACAAATGTTTCAAACATGCTCTAGACCGAGGTGTTCGCAATAAAATGCAAAAAAAAACAGACTATACAATAAGCATACGTACAGCAACAAATACAAATTTTGAACACGTAAACTATAAATACACTGGATCACAAACTTTACGCATAGCAGTCGTGGTGTTTTCTCGTTATTCTTAGTTACCCAATTTGAATACGAAATTTTAAATGTTGGGAGACTTTGTAAGATAATGGCAGAGTTGAGAATTTGGCATATGATATACCGCGAAATTTTTCATTGGCGGCACTGCCGCAGAATGTCACAATGCAGTCTTCGACTTTGGGACCTCCTTTTAGTATATAGAACAAATGTAGTTTTCCTGTATTAGTATAAGTGAAATTCTGATTCTGGCAAAAAAGTGAGACGTATGATCTTAAATATTTTTCTCCTCCCCATATGAAATGGTGGCGTCATCGTACGCGTACGTTGTTCCTACTTTATTCAAGGGCACTCGTTATGAAACAAGGCCACAGTGCAACATACTGTATTCATTGGTTGCGCCATGTTTTTAGATATACATTCTGGAGAAAGCAGTAAGATTCTGTGTTACAACACGGCTGTAAGTGAACAACACTGTTAACAATCACTACAGTGATAACAATGAATAAAATTACCAACAATATCAATTGATTAACCCTACAATTAAGAACAATGACAACGCAGCAATTTTCGCTAAATATTCAGCGAAAGTATCAGTAATAAAAATATTCTTAGGGAGGTAGGAACATAGTGCGCCAAAGGTACTTACTTCTACCGAGCAGATCCTCCACAAGTCGCACCGTTCTGAAGCCGAACCTGGCTGATTTCGTGTATGATTCGCCATTGGCGCTGATAGTCGCTCGGAGAGTGTAGAGATTGGGCTCACCATAGCCGTTAGGCCACCATCGCTTTACATTCAAGGACTGAAAAAAAGCGAGGTCTTGGTGATCGATTTGCATTATAATAGAGTATGAAGATTTTCAGTGGAGATGACAATAGTTATAGCGCGAGAACAGAACGACGACACCGGGAAAACAAGAACACGAAGGAGACGAGCGCTCATGTCCTTCGTGTCCTTCTTGTCTCTTTGTCGTCGTTCTCTTCTCGCGCTATAACTATCGTCAGGTCATACCAACTAGCTCAAGCTGCCACATTTCAGTGGAGATTACGGAAAGTCGACGAATGTTACCATACTTTATGTTATCATAATTGACGGTCAATAAAGCGCTGAGGCTAGTACAGTTAGCATGTTTCATATTATGGTCATTCACACTAATAGAACAATACTTTCACCTGATAAAAGGATATGAAGCATATCTTAGGGCTGCAGCGTTCGGCGCTAATATTTTGCACGTGTACGAGCACACAAAACATTTTACCATAACACCAGCACAATGAGATATGATAATGACGAATTCTACTAAGAGAATGGAAATAGAGGGGTAGTAGAGTGAGAAAGGGGGTGGGGGGCAAAGCACTGAAATCTGGGCCACTTGATCTGTCACTGGAATGCGGCATGCTTCCGGAGAGCAGGTCAGAAAGTGACGAGTTAGGTGAAATATACCACGTGACCAAAACATTCGAAGCCCCGATATTCTCTGCGGGGCAGCAGCGAAATTGGCGCAAAATTCGTCACTGGCCTGTTCGACATTATCTTAATTCACAGGTACATAGTGCATCTGTGCCGTGACGCATCCACCAAACGTTGTTGCGTACACTCCATAGCCGTCATCGTCGCTACCGTTATAGTGAACTAGGAGAGATGTAGTGGCATGACCGGTGGGGCGCGCTCGGTTTCCCGGCGTCTATTTACGCTCCCGACGGCCGCTATGGTAGGTGGGAGCGCTGCTGCTCCGGGAAGCTAGCAGCAAGATAAAATTGAGAAGCGATTGAGAGAAATGGGGGAGGAGCGTTGGGCTAGGAAGGTTTTTAGCTACTTGTACATGAAGAATGTCGATACAAAATGGAGGAAGCGACCAGGAAATTTACTGGTAATACTTAGAAAACAGCAGGTGGCCAAAACCAAAAAGAACTATCGGTTAAGAAGAAAGTGAAGGAAACGGAGACTGACATGTGAAGAATGGCATGATTAAGAAGTCCGCACTAGAGATCTATCGAACCTTTAGCAGAAAATTGCCAAGGAAAGGATCTATGATAATACTCGGGGTAGTTCTCTACTGTTTGAGGCCAGGACGGGAGTACTGCAAACCAGACATATCGGCCAAATACGAAGGGGTAGACACAGTATGCAGTGCGTGTGGAGAGGAAGAAGAAACTGCCGAACACTTGATAATGTTCTGTAAAGGGCTTCACCCTATAGTTCAGGATGATGGCGCTGAGTTTTTCAAAGTGGCTCCTCTACGGAGAACCTTCATGTGTGGGCCGCCTCAGCAGAAGTGGCGCGCACATACAAGCGCAAACAACTGAATTTTATTTCGAAGGAACATGCAGGTAAAAATATGCAGGATTGCCCATGCGCACCATATATCGTGTATCGCATATGTGCATCACATATCTGCATTATATATCGCACCGCTTAAAAAAACTTGATGAGAAATCAGAGGTGACGTTTTTTTGTGTTTTTCGCTTTCAATAATCTGTTGCGAACTTGGCCTGTGAATAAGGACGAAGGTCGCATTATTAAGAATAGCAACCCAATCACAGAGTGTGCTAAACACGTGGTGTATGACATTTTCCTTCCCTGTGGAGTGGCATACGTGGGACAAACAGGAAGATGCCTAAACGTTTGTCTGCTAGAGCATTGTTAAAAAACGGGAAAAGGTAGAGATACTCTTTTGGCGCAATACTGCTTTGAGTGTGGCTGCACTCGCATCTTTGGTGACACTACTGTAATCACTAAAACGTCATGTGAGGAAAAAAAACGATTGGTTATTCAAGCTGCGGCAGTTGAAGAAAGAAGGCGATTAGCAAGCCTTCTTTAACACTATCCACAAAGGAGTTATCATTATTGCAGTGAGCGCACTCGCTTCTACGCTTTTCTTAACATTGAGTATATATATATAGTTGATTACGTGTTACTATGGTCAAAGGACGCTTTGGACAGCATGCACTCATGCATGGGTTATTCTGTATATCAATACAAGTTCCCTCGAAATAAAATTTACTTGTTAGTCAGCGGTTCTATTTGGGTGTCCCTTCTTCGCCCATGTCTCATGCGCTGTGAGCTATGACGGATTATTATGCGCACATGAATGTGTGGGGCGTTGGTATGGTGTGAATGACTGCGCTCAACGTGCTTTCTGGCCCAGCGCGCTATAGTAACGTTGGCTGGGTTTGCGTGTCGTCAGTGTTGGGAGCACACGTAGTGCTTTAGTGCCTTCTCGCGTGGATCGTCAGCGCCGCGTGCAAGCCGCGGCATGGCGAAGAGGCGGACAGAATCGCACCAGCGCTTCGCTCCGGGTTGCCGCGCGGGCTACCTGAATGGGCCAAAAACGTAGCTGTGTGCCGCATCGGAAGACGCCGACCTCCGAAAGAAATGGGAGAGGAACCTTCACAGGGAAGACAAAGCGTTCAGCATTTCTTCGGCAGTGTGCGAGCACCACTTTGAACTGCACTACGTTGTGCTGGACTAAGTTCCCGTCATAAACGGCAACGGAGCGCGGAACTTCGTTGCCGTTCATGACGTCGCAAAAAGGGTGCAGGTGCAAGTTTCGTAAAACCCGGTCTCTCAAAAAGCCGTTTTACGTAACCCAAAGTTTGGGTGCTATTTATTTACTAGCACATTCACTACCAGAAATGTGCAAATAATGAGTAACTGCATGTTTAAGATTTGTGTGTAGATAGCCACACCGATATCGAAATCTCTATTATTGCGTGACGAATATCTGCAGCTACCGTAGACTGGCGCACCATAGTAATCAAGGTGGACGATTGGGCGAGTTGGTGATTCATGATCGACGTATGTAACTGCGCGGTAGTAAACACGGACGACAAGAAGATACAAGGACAAGCGCAGACTATCAACTGAAGGTTTATTTTTCACAAACCACATATATATGACTGAAACAGAAACAGAAAACACGAAAATCTACAAAAAAAAAAATGATGACTTAGCACTTAACAATCGACAAAACGTGAACGTTTGACAAAAGCAGATTCAAGGACCATGTGCGCCACTTGCCAGATACCGTAGCTCTTTATCTAAAAGAGCTAACGACGGTTTGCTGACGCAGTGTTCTGGTTCCCGTGCCATTTTTTCCGCTTCGACAATCATACGGGTATGATCGTCTTTGTGCCTGAACATTACGACCGTGCTTTCGAACTGCGCAAGGCAGCCACACCTACTGACGTGCTGAGCTAAAAAACCCTCATTGCCAGTGCGCACATTGCGTGCGTGCTCGCGCAGGCGCTCATTTAGGCATCTCCCAGTCTGCCCGATGTAACACGCACCACAAGATAGCGGAATTCTATAAACTACATTCATGTCGCATCTGACAAACTGGGTTTTATGCCTGACAGTGCAAGCTTGTTTGGGCCTATTGTTTACACATGTCATTTTGGCTAGCTGAGAGAGCTTGAGAGAGCTGCGCTTGTCCTTGTATCTTCTTGTCGTCCGTGTTTACTACCGCGCAGTTACATACGTCGAGCACCATAGTAGCAAGAAAAGTTGCAGTGGCTCCATCTCGGGGCATCCTTATGAAAACGGGTCACTTGCGCGAAGCTGTTCGTGCGGCTACATCTCTTCTAGTTCGCTGTACGACCATCAAACTGCACGTGGTTGCTACATTTGCCACCGCGCTCACTGGCTGAAAAAAAAAGTGAAAACAGATTCGGAAGCCACGTGAGTCGTCTTGCTGCGCCTACTTTACTATTCAGATGACAGCATTACAAACTGCTCCGGTCTGCTCTCGGGGAAGAAAAAGCGATCTCGCTCGGCCACGAGATGTCATTGCTCTTACACCTGTTCGACCACTGAAACACAGCGGCTCTGAAGAAATCACTCTCAGTGTGCTTTTGAGTGCTCCTGTTCTCTCGATAGAATTCGTCATATGTGAAGGCTGATGAGGACGAATTTGATGTATGTCGGCAGAATCTCACTCAAAGCCCGTACTACTGCATCGAACACTGATTCCACACGTGTATTCGTTTTACCTCATTTATCTTCGCTTAATAATTAGCAGCCATTTATCGCTAAGTTTGATTGCAACCTATGCTTTAGAGGCACTCTTGTTCAAAAATGTATGTTTTCTCGTCTTCACTGCGAAAACAGAATATCGCGTGGCGTTTCTAGAAAAGAGAGGACAGCTTTTCTAGCGTCTAGAGAGAATGCATGCTGTGGACTCTGCAAAGTGTTCGTTGCAAAGCACGCAGCGGGTGTATGGCTGGAACGTACCACATTTACTCGAATGTAAAGCAGCTTCTTTTTCCAAATTTTTGCGACCTAAAGTCAACCCTTGAGTTACAATCGAATACCAAAACTCACCAAAATTCTTTTTCTTCCTGCACTCAATTAAATCTCACCCCTGGCTTTACGATAGTGGTCGCGTTACAATCGAGTAAGGACGCTAATTTACAGATAACCCAGCTTCAGCAGATAAGCTTGGCTCCGCTATCTCTCCCTCTTCCTGCGCATACTTATGTGCCTACCTTAGCGAACTATGGTCGGATAGAACTTCAGAAGTCTGCGGCAGTTCCTGTTCAGAGGCGGATGAATACGAGCTCGAACCAATGGGTGTGCACTCTCGACTGACGTCACGTGCCGCACGGCCACTTGCTCCGTTATGGGCGGGACTTAGTCGCGGAGGAATATGGCGCTCGCACTTCTGGCGCCTGGATGGGGCTTCTCCAGACTTCATAAGTTGTATCCGACTATATATAAAAGACTATATATTAAGGGTAACTAACCGAATTCCCAGAGAAGGCAAGCGGGTTTGGGGAGACAGATGGTTAGGTGGGCAGATGAGATTAAGAAGTTTGCGGGTATAAATTGGCAGCAGCTAGCACAGGACCGGGTTAACTGGCAGAACATGGGAGAAGCCTTTGTCCTGCAGTGGGCGTAGTCAGGCTGATGATGATGATGATGATGACGACGACGATGATGGTGGTGATGATGATGATGATGATGATGATGATGATGATGATGATGATGATGATGATGATGATGATGATGATGATGATGATGTATGAAAGAATAAACGAAAATAGCGATGCACCGCTTGCACTCCTGTGAGTGCATCATGCGACATACCAGGGGAACCGTGAGGTCAAATGAGAGGTTTCGTTCGGTGTTCGCTGTGGTTTCGAAGTGAATGTCATTGTAGTCGCCCAGCACGTGTCCATCCAGATGGAAGACGAGTGTCCCGTTTCTCGCCTCGTACGAGGCCGTCTCCGTGTAGATGGTGACGCCGAGAGACCACTGGTCGGTCCCGTTTTCCAGCACTGCATAAAAAATACATACAGCCCAAAATTGTTTGGGTTTCACCTGCCAAAAACTCGATATAATAATGAGAGCTGTCGTAGAGGACAGCTTCAAAAATTTCGACCACCCGGAGTCTTTCTTTTTTTGTTTTAACTTGCATCTGAATATAAGCAAACGAGCCTCCATCATGTAGTCTCCACCAAAATATGGCCGCCACGGCGGGGATTCCATCCCGCGTCTGTCCAGTCAGCTGTCGAGTCCCATAACCGCTAGCCCATCACGTCGGTATATTGCATAAAAAATATAACTTCATGACAGTTCACAAAATCCCCACTGAACAACATTACTACTGCTGAAAATGCTGTTACATCAGTAAGCTTGACATGTGCTACTATTATTTGTTCGTTTAGTTATTCAGTTATTTTAATTTTAATTAATTATTTAGTTAGTTGGTTAGTTAGTTGGTTAGTTGATAAGTTAGAGGTAGTTGTTAGTCATTTAGTTGTCAGTTAGTTAGTTAGTTAGTTAGTTAGTTAGTTAGTTAGTTAGTTAGTTAGTAAGTAAGTTAGTTAGTTAGTTAGTTAGTTAGTTAGTTAGTTAGTTAGTTAGTTAGTTAGTTAGTTAGTTAGTTAGTTAGTTAGTTAGTTAGTTAGTTAGTTAGTTAGTTAGTTAGTTAGTTAGTTAGTTAGTTAGTTAGTTAGTCGTGTACGACTGTTCATGCATCTTCCAGAGCCAACCATGTCCCAATTTATTTCTCTGGTATCGATGTGCGTCCTTAAAACACTCAAAGATAGATACGCTAATAAAAAATCTGTTCCAGCAATAATTGACCCAAGGAACGATAGCATACGGCTGAACACATTCGGCATCATGACCGGCGTTGTGTAAGTATAACGCATTCTTTGGCCCGCGTTCACGAGCCAACCTTGGCCTTACCACCCGTTTCACTCGGCTTTTTGTACTCTCTACATGCGGTATAAGTGCACGAAAATGATAATTGGGTAAAAGCTAACATTGAAATTGGTTCATGAATACTAGCCGACTTTGTCCACCAAGCACAATACAGTCGTAATACCAGTAAGGAAAACTCGAGGTAAGGATGAGGTTGCTTTTTGAATTCGGGTCTTTGTGTTCCGAGTTGTAATTTAAAATGTCCTCGGCTTGCATGCAAGGCGCGACCGAGCAGATGAAGTAATAACGGCGCGCGAACCTTTGTCCACCGCTGGCAGCGACTATCTATCGGCGGAAAGACGCAACTCAGGGCCAGCGAATACGCCGTGAGCCGTCCCTATATAAGACTATACGTGGTTGGTTACAACACCAGCGTCCCCCACATGTCACGTTTTTTTTTTTTTTTCGCCCGCGCAACACGCATGCAGTGTGGGTTTCCAACTTCAATTGCTGGCGTGTCATATAGACACGTTCACTGTTTGGAAAATTCAGATCTCCCGCGATGTGCCAGTTACTATGGCAACGCGTTTTTGTCGGGAAGTTGCGTTATTCTGCTGATTCGTTATTTGCTTCTGTCAGCTGCTCGATGGGCGCTTAGCGTTGTTACAGCGGCCGTGTTTGTTACTTCATCTGCATGTTCTTTCGCGTCCCGCGAGTGTCCTTACTCAAAGAGCATATATCTTACACCATGGCCACGCCATAGCTACACTCACCTTCCACTCTAGAGACAACTGTCATGTCGCGGATGAGTACTTCATTGTAAGGTTCGAGGTTGATTGGTTTCCTGCGTAGAACAAGAAGTCCACTTTAACAGCTTTGCCAGTGAGCTGCACCTAATGACAACGCCAAATTTTTGGAACCTGGTCGCAACTTGCTGACAAAACGTACAAACGCGCACAAGCAAAAAAAAATAAAACAAAGAAAAGCAGGCTGAGCCAGTTCTAAACCATCAAAACAGGAACGGGGAACAATTCATTCGTCTTAACGCGCGTTACTTTGCAGAAGGCTTACATTCCGGAACTGTCAAAAAAGGCAAACCTGCTGGCCATTATAGGGACATGCTATGTAGTACTGAAGTGGCATGCTCTGCACTATTTTCGATGAAGCGTAAGTTTATCAAGAGCGGGACAAAAATCTCAGCACATGCGTGTTTCCATTCTGCCTCCAGACAAAGACAGTGCCATGCATGGCGAGCTATCAGAGCACGAATTCACGAAGACTTCAGTTCGTAAAATCAATCTGCCGTTGGCCGGCTATTTTCGCTAACGAGATGTGAGACGTCGAGATTGGGCATAATTTTCTCCTGTGATCAAGTTCAGCTTAAAATACTTTTGCTAATACGGAGCTTGATTCACATCATCCCGCTCAGCCCTTGAACATTATTACAGCTATAGCGTTAAAACTTGGAGCATACACAAATAAACGCGTCATGGTCGATGACCACTGAGGATAATAAAGCCTGTCTATGCATAACCATGGTCATACAGTGGTCGTGGCATAACAGTCAAAAAGGATCAAAAACCTCGTTTATGGTGACATATATTTTAGCAGCATAGTACAACAGGGGCCACAAATGTCTCAAGGTGTATCTTGTCAATGAGGCTGAAGCGCATACTATTTTATTGCTGAAGTAGGTACACTCTACGCTGCTCAATTAGGTGGTCTCTGCGCTCATGGTCAATGCCGCACTATACACAACAGCGCAACTGACATGATGAATGGAGCCGTCCATAACGGAAAGCTACGCACCATTGAGCTCTTTGTATGACACTGACCGCACTCGACGTGATAAATGTACCGTGACGCCCGTATATAGCTGTGACGTTCACTCCTTAAAACTCCCTGTTTGAGATATCGCACCTTGCCCGGTTAGTTATGAGGTGAGAGTTCTGTACAATAAATAATACGGATCAAAGTTCGTGTTGACGAATACGCTCTTACGCCTAGTCAACATTATGAGAACAAAGCTCTCCAACGGCTGAATTATTCGCAAAGGCCGCTGACCAAACAGACGAAAAATTCTCACGAACAAAAAAAACCTTCTGCGTTTAGTGCCACATTATTTTGGTTAGTGTGCAGTCAATGTAAAACGTTTATAGACACCACAAACAAACAAAACTGCTGAATATTCCCGCTGCTTCAGCAGGCAGCCTCAGACTTAAATTCCCAGCCTAAAACTCTCCAACGTTTTAATCACGCAAAACTCATTAGCCCGATAGATTACTTTGCTAACGACACGTACTGCGGCAGTTGTGAATGCAGTCACAAATTGCTGGCATATTCAAAGTTTTCGCGGACCTAGTGCTCTCTAAACTTCTGATGCCGACTTTACATATACACTCTTGATCTATTTCTTTTTGTATTTTTTAGTTGACTTTATTCTCACCGGAGTGAGACGCGCATACAGGAATCTGAAATTTCAGAAATTTTGTTGCTTCTGTTGTGAATTTTGAAAAAAATATATCACACGCTTGACTGATATAATAGTGTCCCTACGAGCACCCGTACCTACGCTGGGGAATGTACGTCGAGCCATCTGTATACAGCTAAACGCTCTTGACCCATTGATCGTAATCGAGAATCGGCAACTGTTTTCATTGCTATTTTCATTTGGGTGCTCTTGCTCCCAAAAAGGTAAATTTTTGTCCAGTGGTTACGACAGCTCTGCAATTGCTAGTTAAACTAGAACGTGACCACATAACGACTGCATATTCCTTGCTTATTTGTGCAAAAGCTACATGAATCCACAAGTACCAATGTCAGTATTTATTTGCCCTTTATTGCTCATTCAGAGGTGGGAAGTACGCTTATAAAAAAAAAGGTGGCGGATACATTGAAAATGACCGTGTGTGCTGCATATGCAAAAAACAACAGGGGAATATTTATTATGCAACACAGGTAATATTAGGTTTGCGCGCAAGAGTGAATCTTAGGTAGGTAACTGAAGTGGCTTATCAAACTAAATGGGGTTTTGGTTAGAGACCGTTTTCATGTGCAAACAATCGCCCATGCACTATCTCTTCCAGAAGTGATTATTTATACAAATAATACACAACATGACAGGGCGTGAAAAAGCGTGAAGACGGCTGATGAACCTACATCTCAGTGACGCAGAAAGAACCTAGCCATATCTTAGAGGCACTCTTGTCACGTGTTCTTATCATTAGATGCCGACTTAGAATATATCCTATCAATACACGCATGCACTTACCAGATACCCTGCGATGGAAATGCCGGTCCCAGCTCCGAGCCGAATCCACTCTGAACGCGCCGGATGTGGTTGCCATGGCAGAAGCCCTTGTGGTGCGACGGCGGGCACAACGGATACACAGGGTAGAAGCTAGCCTGAAGCTTGTGTTGGCGTAGCGCATAGTTCACTGCGGACTCGCACTGCACCGTTATCTTGTTTTCTTTCTCCTGCACGCGCGCAATGGCCACGCGGTAAGACAACCGGAAATCTGTCCAAAGTTGTGGACACAAAAGCCAGTCTGACCGAGCCGCCCCAAGCTATCAAAGGCGAGAAAGGAAAATGACCAAGGTAAGTGCGAAGTGCGCTTGCTCTTACTTGTACAGGTCCATATACTTGAAAAGGTTACGCAGGTAATCGACTGGTTCAGCTACTTGATGAGTTTATTAGTTAGTGCTTACTCTCTGACGTCAACGTTGAGGGTGTGGACGTTATCTATTGCACAAGTGGTCACGTAGCGCGAGAACTTGGTACACGGAACGAGACGGGACGAATATACGATGGCTAACAACACTAAAGCTGTCAGCGCTCCTTTTCGTCCATTATTTTGTCCTGCGTCAAAATTTTGCGCAACGGGTTCAGTTATGCATTTAGCATGCCTTATTTAGCATGCGTTATGCATTTAGCGTGCGTGCTAACATTGAAAGCTTGATACTATAAAAGTTTAATGACATCAAAAAATATGCTGCCATGTGTTTTATTGCATTGGTCTACCCTTATAGGACTCTTGTTTGAACTCTATATACTAACTCAGAGAAACGGGTGTTTATGCCAAAGCCCGAATATTGTAGTCGCGTTTTTACTAAAAGGCCTGTGGGCTGCAGGTGATACCTGATGTGGTAATACTGGTAACGTAGGTCGCCTGTACGGGTTACGCAGGTTCTGCGAGGCCTACGTGCTGTCTGCGTTATTTCCTGCCCTGGACTCTCGAGTCAGTTTCTGAAGCGACGTCACAGCCAGCAGTATCTAGTTTCTTTTTTCAGTTTTATACAGTCAAAATACAAAGTTTACAGTTAAAATTAAGCAGACGAGTAGGCAACTCTTGATAAAAATGCGATATGGCCGTCATAATCGCACGGCTCTTCATCATCCTTAAAATCCAGACGACACGTAATTTTCTACAGCTCTCGTTTTGTGAACTATGTTGGCTCAAACATGCAAGATTGCTACAACTGGATGGTATGAGATAAAAAGATGTGCACCCTCCGCGAGCACTACGAACCTTTAGCACGTTCTTGGCATCGGCCACATACCGCACGAACATGTTGGTGGAAGAGATGAGAAGGGCCCCGTTGACTCTGACGTCACAGACCGTGTCCAGCCCATGCGCCACTAGGTTTATCCTCTTGAACTTCAGCACGTCTGATGGGGCTGCGATCCAGTTCACAAAATACCCGTAGTTCAAGCCATAAGTGGCCTAAACATGTCATAGTTGTGGAATGTGACAAAGTATTAGAATATTTGTCTACTGGACATTAATATCAGCGCTCGAAAACATGTGTGATTCAGCAGGCGAATCATGTTATGTGCGAATTATGCAGCAAGACCAATATGCTAAAAGAACATAACAATAAGAAGCGTCAAATGAATACATGCAACGTTACACTATGCTTGTAACCTAACAATAAGAATGTGAATTTTCTACTCTGTTAAAGGGTTAAAAAGCCTTCTGGACAGGTGCTCACGACACTCACTTTGTGTAAAATAAGCAACTACGACAGCCATTATAATAACTTCAACATACATCTTACGATGGAATGCTGTTACTCCTATATGTACAAGCCACGGCTGCAGGTACGAAGCGATGTAAACAAGTTCTGTACTAACCGTCAAACGTTCTGGAGAAGGTCCAGTTGTCCATAGCCACCCAAGCAACTTCTCGTCGTTGAAACCGTGATACGGATGCTGGGTGACATTGTTACGGTGAAGGATCATGTAGATTCCACCGGGAATGTCACCGGTCACAGAGATTGCTGCAAGAATGTACGCACAATCTTATCACTTCTGGCAACTTGTTTCGAAGTCATATATTGCTTAAAGGTAGTGAAGGAAGATAGTGAAGGATAGATTAAATGAAGTAAAGATAGTGAAGCAAAGAACATATTAGCTGGTTCCTATATGACACGTTGTGGCGTATCAGTTAGGTCGACTGGTTTGAAATAGTAGGTCCAGTCCTTCCACTGATGAAGTGTTGTTCATTAAGGGATGAACAAGTGGGGGGGGGGGGGGGGGGCTTCTTTGCGCGCAAGCTTGCAAGTTTAATTCGGGAGCACGTGTCTGCCCGCTTTGCCCATAATTGTGTTTCACACAAAATTCGCTAGGAAGGGCAACGAAGAGAATGGTCGCCCTTTTCCAGCTCATAAGATTTGCATTTTGATAGCACTAACGTGGCTGAAGTCACCGCTTCAGAATTACTTCACATGCTTTTTGTGACGCAACTACTTTTGGTTATGCACGCTCATTTGTAAGTAGCAGATTAATATTAACAATATAAAGCTGAACATTTCGACAATGTTCTCCATCTGGTTGAGTTAAATAGGTCTTTCAAAAGTCCTTTTGAAAACTTTGAAAGACTGCTGACACGACTTTTAAATAATGTCGGATTGTTCTTTTAAACAAAAACCCCAGTTCTGAACCCTAAAGAAGCTTAAACCGTTTCTCCGAAGGGTACCCTGATGGGATGCGAAACAGCAGCGTTGCACATGGGGGGCATCACGAGTTCAATGATGTTAACGCAGATGCTGCGGTGAGTGCTGAAAGACTCGTTTGAAGCAATGGCGGGCGGAGGTCTTGTAGGTGGCACGTACAGACATGTTTCAATGCGTGCGTTAGGCGCGCGTCAGGTTTATTGCTCGTGAACCGACGAGTCGGTGGTGTACCAAGCAGTGGTCGCAGCAGGTGTTGCGGGCGACTGAGGAGGCGGCAGCTGTGACATATGGTAGCGCAGACAAAGGACATGGACAATAGAAGGCATAATCAAGACAACACAGCGTTGTGCTGTCTTGAATGCGCCTTCTCTTGTCCATGTCCTTTGTCTGCGCTACCATGTATTATCATGCTACCATACCAAGCCTAAATGACCACCCTCATCGGCAGCTGCAGGCGCCGCGGCGAGTGCGTAGCAGGCGAGGGAGGAAGTGACGTCAGCGCGCACTGCGAAGGGAGCATGAGTCAACGCGCAGCATCGGCGTGATATCGCACAGCGCCATCAGCTGAGGCGCATGGTGTGTTCGTACGGAGGGACAGCGTTACACCGGCAATTCAAAGAGCTACTTCGCATCCTATAAAGTGTTGCGGTACCTGGGAATACATCGAATATATATTTCTTCCGTCTACCTAAAAAAAAACAAAAAACCTCTCGGTTTCAGCACTGAAGCAGCCACTTATCAGTGACGTGTCATCGCAGAATGACGTCATGGGTAGGCAGCAACTGTCAACGTACTAGCGGTAGGTCTCACATCTTGTCGTGGTGCACGTAAACAACGAAGAGGAAATTATTATTCGGTGGCCCCGACATGGTTTCTGATATTTAGGCTGCAGCAGGAAGCAGAGTTCGCAAATTCAGTGCAAGTGTGTCGACTCTTCGGGATAATGTGCATTGTGGTGGAGCTGGCTTGGTAATGTTCGGCGACGAAGAATTTTAAATCGAAGTAAAATATTTCGTATGCGTCTCCCAGCTCATGTGCATGGAGAGAGTTAATGCTGAATATTAGGAATGTGAAAGACGTTGTTTTATGGTGTCTCGAAATCGTCTAAATACATCTTTAAACGTTGAATTGTACCAGCTTGTAGCTGGAAAGGTGCACGGGACCATAAGCGTGCGTAATGACCATAATTTATGCTCTCGCGTTGAAAAGATGAGAACGTCATTCCCGACACCGGCACTGCGCAGCACGCGCCACAAAATAGAAGACGAAAACCAAGGCTTTTCTAAGGTTTGTGTGCGAGGAAGAACACGTAGCCATATCTTTTATCGGTGCAATAATAATAATAATAATAATAATAATTCATGAGGTTTAACATCTGAACACAGTAATAATATAAGAGACGCCGTACATGAGGGCTCCAAAAATTTCGACCACTTGGGTTTCTTTAACATGCCCCTAAATTTAAGCGCTCGGTCTTCGAGCATTTTCTCATCCATCTGAAATCCTGTCGCCGCGGCCGGGATTCGATCCTGCGACCTGCGGTCAGCAGCCGGTATCGGCGCACTCTGTTCTACACATGTATAGCGTTTTAAGTATTCGACAAAGATGCCACTCGCAGCGATTTTCGTATACTCACATTTGTTGGCATTGGTGACCGTCCAGAGACCATTCAGGGATATCTCAAGGTCCTTGTGTCCAGACTGGATGTAGAACACCAACACAGCTAGCACCACCCCGACACTTGCTAAAAGCGTCCTTGGCGCGGTGAGACCAGGGTTGTACGTGATCATGGTTGGCAGGCTAGCGCAGGGTCGGTCTGCACAAAACCTTGACTTCGGGTCGCCCAATCGACCCTTTACGACGGCGATAGTTCTTCGGGCTGTCCTTCTGGTCCACACACGTTCGCCAGCGTTCCACGCTCCCCGCACTGCCGATGACGATGGGGGCTCAATATATCACGTTAGTTTTCTTCTTCTTTGCCCACGTAAATGGTTAAAGAAAAAGCGATGACGTGGCCTGCAGTGACGTGTAATTATTCTGCTTTGCAGGACCTTTCTTTTTTATATTTTTTTCTCGAGATTCAGAGCAAGTGAAAGTGGCAGCCTTGTATTTGAATAACACTTTCCGAGCATTATAGTGTCAATGCATCACCCCGGTAAAGAACACATCTAGTTGGAACTGGGTAACATAGGGTCAAACGGAAAGACGAAGAGAAAGAAGTCAGCTGAAAGTTCCTCATGAATATTGATAGTGGTTATGAGCCACTCGCGCAGAAAAAAACGAAGCGAATAAACATAACTAGTAGGAACTAGGAAATACATATATCACGAACGACACGAGAATAGTGTCATGTAGCAGTGGTGAAGGAGGAATAAGAAGTGCCTAAAAGGAACGCGGAGATTTATAAGGCTCTCATGTCTCTTAGTTTCGCGTTTATGTCCCCATTTGCTTGGTTACATCAGCAAAAATATTGTACATCGTTGCTATAGTGCAACTCAGTCTGCCTGTTATTGCTGTTTTTACTAACTTCAGGTTTATCTATGGATTAGTGCAACCAGCACATTAGTGTATGTGCTTTTTTATATATTCATTGACACGTTTCTTTAATAAAGCTGTAATGCTCGTCATAATGCAATTACGTGTTCGCATGAACTGTCATCATCAAGAATGGCCACTACTTTTCTTCCATAATTCTGCCGGCCCACGTTCTCTTCGGCCTCTTCCGCCTCGCGCCCTAAACAAGGGCTCACCTATTTGTCCATGCTGATTTGTCCCGTGTGAAATGCAATAACTCGGATGGGCGAGAGAACGAGTACAGAAAGCGAGAAAGAAGAAATACAACGAGACAGATAGGAAACATTCACGGCAATTTATTTATTGCAAGGACGGATTTGAACCTGCGCACCCCGCGATCTGAAGGCGAGCATCATAGCCATTCCGCTATCCATGCACGCTAGCAGTGCCAAACAAGAGGGTGAGGAGAACTGTTTGGTATAGCAGAAAGGAAAGGAGGAAGAGAGATAGTAATTGATCGATATGTGGGGTTTAACGTCCCAAAACTATGATATGGTTATGAGAGACGCCGTAGTGGAGGGCTCCGGACATTTCGACCACCTGGGGTTCTTTAAGGTGCACCCAAATCTGAGCACCCGGGCCTACAACATTCCCGCCTCCGGAAATGCAGCCACCGCAGCCGGGATTCGATCCCGCGACCTGCGGGTCCGCAGCCGAGTACCTTAGCCACTAGACCACCACGGCGGGGCGGAAGCGAGATAGTAATGTGTAGCATAGAAAGACAGAGAAATAGATAAATTTGGAGAATGAAATGGAAAATACCCTGAAAAAAGTCCGGTGAGGAGCAATCTAAAAAAATAAAAAGAATTAACGAAAGAGGAAAAATATAAAGAGACAAAGGAGGCATGGAAAGAGAGAAAAGATAAGAAAGAAAAGTAAAGAGCAACAAACAAGGACACCCAACTCCACGCTTCTATTAGGCTTGGCCCAATAAATTCTTTTTCATTTTCAAGCCTATTAACTTGTTGCGTTTTCTTATTTTTCCTTTCCTTTATTTCACATATTTTTATTCCTTGTTTTACATATGTGTTCCATTTTAAACCATCCAATATATACGTATTCAGCTAATGTAACAATTTTATCTTTTAAAACATTGGGGCACACTTAAAAGGGTGGTGCCACCAAATTTCGAGGCTATCCCAAGTTTGTTGTGGGTTTCCTCTGTATGCAAGGACTCTCCACACGAAGGGTGGGACAAAACAAACGCGTAGAATTCATTTTATTTCACTTTTAACAGTGTAGCTGAATGCCCACTCTTACTATCTAGACTCTCGCTTGCGCAGCAACACTGACGTTTCAGAATAGGAAAAGCAATGGCAGTTGTCGTGACGTCACATGAGATCTGCAGTGATGAGTGTGATGGTGTCCCTTTCAGGGGAAACTGTGTGCGTCCGTCAAGGACACTTGGTGCCATAGAGTTTCATACAGTAATACCTGGAGTGGAATCTAGGGCTAGTGTCTACGCGGGCTCCTTCAGTGGCGCTTGTACCCACATGGGAATGATGGGCAGTACAGGCTTCGGATCTGCTTCGGATAGATAACGTTCTTGAGATTCGCAACGCTTCTTTTCTGAGTGTGAAACAAAGTAATATGAAGTTATATGAAATTGAAACTTGCTTGACTTTTTGTACACAATCTTTATTGCAAATGCTTTTGTGACTATAGGTGTAGAAGGGAAACCTGGACAAATTTAACCACCAGGGTATGCATTGCTCTGCCATTGCGTTCCATATTTGGCATCAAGATGTAATGAATTATTCTTTACAACATTTCAAAACAAACATTTTGGTTTGCCCTCAAAAGTACGGAATATCTCTCAATAAAATAAGAGCACAGTACTAAGTGAGGAACACTTAACGTTTCGTTTGCTGCGATACCAGGTGCGTCTGTTCAAGTGGTCTGCCCCCAACGCACCTCTCGTTTTGTTGTGAAGTCGAGTCAGAAGAGCGTGGCCGTGTGTCTACTTCGCGTCGCCACCATTTTCCAGTTGATTTCAACGAGTTTTGGCAATACGCACTAACAGCAAACGTGAAATCGATGTAATATCCTGCACTGCCTGCGAAGCGGTGAGTGGACGAAGCTTCGCCTAAACTGTCAAACACGACTTACACAGCTTCAGCGTTGCAGTAAATTGAGAGGCCTAGCAGTTTTCAGCTTATTAGAACAACAAAGCCGCATTGAAACTGCCTTTTATTCATTACTATAGTTATTAGTTATAAAGCGACAATCGATCAATATTACTAATCAATCCTTGCAAGGAAACAACTATAGTGAAAATCATGACTTCTTGTTTCAAAATTTTCGTAGTGACAAAAACATGAGGGGCACTAAATGAACGTGTAATGAAGCAAAAAAAAAAGATTTCGATCCACACTCGTTTAATAAATCGTATATGCAAAGTTAAAAGAACAGTAACAATATGAAGTTTTACGCTATGCTAATTTGAAAACGTCTGCGCAAACATCTACGGTTGTCACGGCAAACGGTGGCTTCGCCTAACGGGACGTTGCGGGCGGGGCCTATTGCAGCTCGATGTCTGCAAGGGACCGACCCTCTGTCTCGGGAAGCAGGAACAACAACGTGCCGGCGGCAGCCGACATCGCGAGGGCAGCGTACATGTGCGCGTTCCGCAAGCGCATCACCGTCAGGAACTGCTCGTTGAACTCGACCAGCGCAAAGACGATGAACCAGCGCGTGGCCCAGATCGCCGGTGCGCCCAAGTAACGTAGCCAGCCGGGTCCCGAACAGAGCTCTGCAATGAACAGCGACGGCAGATGACAGAGGCCCACCGAATAGCTCAGCACGAGAAGGTTGACCGAGTACACGAAGCTCCAGTTGGTCTCGTCCGGGGGCCCCGCGGTCGACCATTCACTGCGATCGCGGCACCAGGAATAAAGGTAAGAACTTTGACGCTTAAGCTGAATCAATACGGCAAGTTGATTTAGTTGAAGTTGTACTAACACTTGCTTGCAGGCTAGTTGCTGGGACATCTCTTGTTAAGGTATTACGAGAGCACCCAGAGGCAATAATAATTCTTGGGCTTTAATGGTCCATAACCACCATGTTAGTATGAGAGACGCCGTAGCGGAGGGCTCCTAAAATTTTGACCACCTCTGTTCTTTAACATGCACCTAAATCTAAGCACACGGTACTCAAGCATTTTTGCCTCCTGCGAAAACATGACTGCTGCGGCCGAGAGTCGATCCCGCGAAGTGTGGGTCAGCAGCCGAGTGCCTTAGCCACTAGACCAGCGTGGCACGTAACACAAAAAGGTAGTCGACTAGACAGATAGATACGTATAGACACAAACGCTCAAAGTGTCTGCAGTGTGCAAAGAAATAATATATATGTCAAGCTCAACAGTGATTGTTACACAGATACATTAGTAAATGTTTTGATAAATTCGTTTTAGTTTATATAAGTTGCTCTGCAAGTACATGCAAAAAGGTGAGCCCAAAAGGACGCGTGCTCTCGAACATAAAGAGGCGCACACCTTTTTTAATCAGTCCACGTTACTGCGTGCATTTTAACATTATTTCAATATATGACCTTTCCCTAATAAGTTCGTATGAGATACTGTTGTGCATCTTGCTTACAACCAACGTTGGCGCAACATTGAGAAAAGATGTGTTGGCGTTTGCCTCAGTGCACAATGTTTGTCTTGGGACATTGTGACTCACTGACCGAGTCATTACTGCCAAGACTCACCGAAAAAAATGTCGCTGCAGCTGACGCTTCTGTAAGAGTCTTGGTCATGGCTTCAACCATTTTCTTTTGCAAACGCGAGTGCGACTACCAAACACCCAAGGGAAAGTTTAGGGTTCTTTCTCTTTCGTGATGTGGCGTACCTGAAGGCGAGGTGCTCGAACGGTGGAAAAACAACGAAGCAGAAGACCTCGAGCAGGGTTGACACGCACAGCAGCTGTCGTCGACCCGTGGAGCGTGTCAGCGAAGTGAACAGCACTACGAAAGACACGTGCATGGCCATCATGATGAGAGCGGCGAGCTCCGCTGGCACGTCCTTCACCAGGCCTTCCATGGCCTGGATGCCTCGGAGGAAGAATAGCTGCGCGCACGATGCGCTCTGCAGCAACTGGAGCAGCAGGCACGCCGAAAAACGCCTGCATGCACGAGCATATCGATCCTTGAAAATAAAGCGTAGTGATATCTACAGATTAGGAGAACAAGTACCAGAGCGTATACTCTAAGACCAGCGTTAACGTTTGGATACAGTGATTTCCATCTTTAGAATGATTGATTGAAGGAGCGAAGAAGTCGGCAAGTTATTGAAAGGGTGGCTTATTAGCCCAAGTGAGAGACAGCGTGAACACACAAGGCAAGGAACCAAGGTCGGCCTTCACAAAAGCATCTTTAGCTAAAATTTTCGTAAGAAAATATCTTAGCCAGTGTCTATGCGAGTCATATCACCAACAAAGCTGGCTGACGAATGAGGAAAACGCCATTACTAAAGAGAATGTTTGTGAATTCCGCCCCAGAACAAGTACGAGCTCTACACCTCGAGCCTGCACCATCAACAGCTGCAACCTATCATATTCAAGCTGTTTAATGTATCCCTCTTTTTTTTCTTCCTGTCTGCTGGTGCCATTTCGTCCAGAACGTGCTTCACCAACTCGTCCACGCATCATGGCAGCTCATTGTCGAAAGAGTCCACTGATATATAAATCTTCTGTAAGCCAGCCATTGCCAGTTATCTTCTTCTGTACTAGTATTTTAAATAAGATTTGAAACAAAGCAGGGTGCCCTTGAATTATTGTGTCTCTTATGATTGTTGGGTGTATATTATCATTTAGGCATGAAAACCACTGTCAATTCCACAAATGTCACTCTTCACAGTGTGCTTTGGACGCACTACAACTAAGCCAACAATATAACGTTAAAGTCATCACAGTTGTAACACTTCTAAATTAACTTCATGAAAAATTTGCCTTATATATATTACGTAGTTTTGTCATCACAGAATTCCCAAAAGTTGCTAGTAATCAGAAAATGAGTGCGCAAGGGCACCCGTTGATACCAGCCTGATAAGCCGCCCGGATGAAGGATGTGGTCTGGTGTCCTGTTGTTGTAACCGCCCGGGCCTCAGCTCTGGCGGTTTGTGAAACCCGTACAGCCTGGTTGCCGCCATGCTTGCCTCGTCCAGACGTCCGCGAAGCAACAGCCAGCGGGGACTCTCGACCAGGTATCGCCACCAAACCAGGAGCGGCAATTGCGCCAGAGCCCAAACCACCGCTTGCCACCGCCACGGTATGCCGTTCAGCGTGTAGCTTGCCACAATACCGATGCTTGTGGCGACCTGGCAGGATAGGAATTTTTGTACAGCACGTAGAAGTGTAAGTTCTTTGTGTTTGTTTTGTCGGTGTTTCATTTATTCCGTAACACGCACCAGCTCGCCTATCCAAACGCACTGTGCTAAAGCTGTACGCTTAAGAAGTAAGGTATATAACAGCTGCATTTTGCCCGTACTTACCTACGGAGAAGAACCCTCGAGGCTTACAAAGAAGGGTCAGCCTAAATTGTGGATGACGCAACGAGCGAAGAAGAAAATGATATGTGTAACTTTAAGAGACAAGAAGAGAGCAGAGTGGGTCAGGAAACAAAACGGTGTTAAGAATATCATCATTGAAATCAAGAAGAAATGCACATGAACCGGGCACGTATCACGCAGGCAGGATAACCGCTGGTCATTAAGGGTAACTGACTGGAATCCCCGAGAAGGTCAACGCACGATGTTAAGTGGGTCAATGGGATTAAAAAGTTCGCATCTCTAAAGTGGTAGTGTCACAGAGATTGCTCCCTTAATAATCCTTTTACGAAGAGAACCAACGAGACGCTTTGTGTGCGTCTACAGTGCCTCGCGCGTGCTTACGCATGTTGGCGCAGGGCACCGCATGCCTCTCGTGCACAAGCACGAGCTACGGAGACTGACCTGGTTGTTGTTCAGAAAGGGACACGTGATCGGAACGCTTTTAGCAGACGCTTCTTTGTGCCATGGTTACTTTTCTGGGCACAAGTTTGCCCTTAATAAATCATTGTGTGTGTGTTCCCCCTCTTGTATTGCGTGACCAACGCCTCCTAGAAGAACTATGCCTGGAACGTCGCTCTCCTTTCAATTGGGAGCCTCCTGCCAGCACGCAATCTCGGAGACCATACCTCCTCCCTTGTGTTGCGACCAGCCGCTGCATGAGACCGCTGCCTTTCGTACCACTCAGTCACGTGACATAAGCGTACCCCTCTGTCACGTGACATCACGGCTTCTCGGAGGCAACTGTGAGAGCATTGCGGTGTTCGCAGGGGGTCGTCGGAGGTGGTCGCCTTCGTACCGAAGGAGGAGGGTAAAATCAGGGGGTAGAGCAGCGCGTTCGCTGCTCACGTTCAAGGCATAATTGAACGATCACTGAAATGCTGTCGATGTACGTGGACTTTAGGCATAAGACGTGGGATGAAATCCTGCCTTACGCACCATTCGCCTATAATACGGCCCGCCAAGAGACCACCCACGTCACTCCATTTCAGCTTGTCTGTGGTCGCATAGTCAATCTAACTCTCGACGCCATGTTCCCAGTCGACAATGACCCTGACAAGACTACGGGCCATCCGACATTGACGAATGTCTTCAGACAGCTCAAGAAGCATGCCAGTTGGCAAGGCACCGAATACGTCAATAACAGTTCAAAGATGCGGACCACTACAACCTGCACCGCAGGGGAGTTAAGTACCAGCCAGGTGATCAAGTATGGATCCGGACACCAATATGACGCCGCGGCCTGTTAGAAAAGCTCTTTCGATTGTACTTTGGTGCTTATAAGGTCCTTCGCTGGCTAAGTGACTTAACTTATGAAGTAATCCCTGATGGACAAGAGCGCTCGAAACGGCAAAACCATGGGGAGGTCGTCCACGTTGTCCGCATGAAGCCGTACCACGAAAGAGAATTAAGCATCTACCCCCTCGACAATTAATCTTCCGAGTTCACACATCGGGACGATGAGCATTTCAGAGGGGGAGTTATGCCACAGAGATTGCTCCTACTAATCACTAAGAGAACCAACGAGACGCTATGTGGGCGTCTACAGTTCCTCGCGCGAGCTCACGCATGTTGGCGCAGGGCAGCGCATGCCTCTCGTGCACGAGCACGAGCTGAGAAGACTGACCTGGTTGTTGTTCAGAAAGGGACACGTGTGCGGAACGCTTTTAGCAGACTCTTCTTTGTGCCATGGCTACTTTTCTGGGCACAACACCTGACAATAGCAGAAAGTATAAGACTGGGTTCATTGGCGGATCATGGGAGAGGCCTTTGCCCTATAGTGGGTGTAGACACGTTGACGATGATGATGACAAAACGAGTACCGACACAAAATCTAAATATTTCTAGCTAGTTACTCCAAATGAAAGCACGGCTGTCAAGAACCCTAAAACCAGTTACGTAGTGCTCGGGAATGCATGGGCGGCTTCTCAATGACTTGTCAACACAAGTTTAACGTCGCGGTAAGACTTCAACTCGCGAAATAATAGCGCTAGTTCTGTCTTTTGCCGACTTTCGCACGTGTTTCACGCAAACGATGATGAGTTTTATTGCCACCCATCGAATTCGACAGCGATTTCTGCTATTTGGGCTGACCGCATGCAGGACGCAGACTTCGCAAACCTGGAGTGAATTGCATTGGTTTGTCGTTGAGGTGGGACTAGCTTGCAGATCCTAGGGTCGAAAACTTACAATATCAAAGCAAAATCATGTTGTCTGGCTTCAAGGAGTATAGGCAGCCGGCAATGCAGTTTACGAAATCTGATGGTAGCGCCAGAACACACAGTCTAGTGGGTAGGCAAAGCAAAACCGAGTCTTCCAATGCGTAGCCTAGCGAGTAGACGCAGCAAAACCGAACTTGCACGTGCATATCATTTTCTTTTTTTTAGTTGTGAGCAAGCGGTCATGGCTGATTATGTAAGCGCCCAGAAAGCGTTCTTTGCAAACGTGCCAGAAAGGGCACTGACACTTCAGCGTGTCACTATGCTCAGCGAGCGTTCTATTTTCTTGGTATCCCTGGCGGTCGGTACCAACAATGCTGAGGCGGCCCAAAGAACTTTGTTGCGCCCTCTGGTTCACTGTCGGGTGCATATAGAGAGCGTTGATAGTGCGATATCACGGAAACGAAAACTGTCTCTTTTTGAGTGCCTCAAAATTGTGTCAGTACTCCTTTAGGCGTGAGCCTAGTGAAATGGTACAAAGGTACAGCAAACAAACCCTCGTTAAGTTTTGAGCTGGGCAACCATGCCCGAAATCGCTGTTCTGTTTAGTCCAAGAACTCCTTTGTTTAAACGCCTGGCCTTAGTAGTAGCACCTACCTCAGTGAGACCTGTGTAGAAGGCTCTCGAGTCCATGGGTGCCACCTCGGCCACGTACAGGCTGACGCCGATGTCAATGACGCCCAGCCACAAACCACACCCAGCCCTGGCTGACAGAAGCATGGTAGTGTTGGAAGACGCGGCGAGCACGCCCCACGAGAGAGCCATCACCAGGACGCACAGCAGAAGCGTCATCCGGCTGCCGAACACCCTCAACGGACACCCTGCCACGCAACCAAACCACTCGCTCACGTCACAAATCTTACAAGTGGACATTGTTTTCGAGTAGGTGCATTTCTTTCGAACTCGCGTAAGACGTACACATTTCGAGTTCTTCACAGTGTATGAAAGTATTAACACGTGAGTGGTTTATGTAGGCAAGACACCTTTAACAGATCGCTGAAGAGTTTAGTAAACAAGGAGACGTAGCAGGCGTCGATAATACCTAACAGTGAAAGCTTGTACGAATAAAGAGAAGAACAAGGATTCTAGAGTGCAATAGTCATACGTGACCGTAATGAACAGTCATTTAACAAGTAGTCACCACGCCGTCTCGAAAGAAACGCCGGTCAGTACATTCATCATTATTATCATCCTTCTCAACATCATGAGTTTAGCGAGCGTGAGACTCTCTCTACTTACAGTACGGCTCCCAGAACCTCTCACAGCTTTTCCGCGGAGTTAGATTACCGGGCGCTAAAGCTCGCTAGTGGCTTGAGATAGGCAGGCGTCAATAAACAACTTTACATACAGTTACTATATAGTAAACAAGCGTATATTCTTCTTTGCAGGTGCAAATAATATCCGGTAGGCTGTAATTGCAAGTGCGTCACTTTTTAGATACTGGTTATAGGACCCAAGATATCATGGCATTCGTGAGCGAAACGCTAAGATTATGGTAGTCTTCTGCACTACACTATGGTGAAGCCAGACCAGCAGCTGTCACATCCGGGCTTTGCCAGGATGCATCGGGGTGCATGCATTGGGACAAAGGGACAAAAGCAAACAAAGGAGACTAAGATCGCCTTATTTTGATATTTTCATATTGCCCCTGAAATAAAGCTTCTCCCCGCATTTCATTTGCATTCAAAAGTGTAGCTTGCTTAGTCTTTGTAAACTGGCTTTAGCAGATTGCCCAGAGCTGCCTATCCATAAAGAACAAAAGTCGTGCACGCGTGTCACGAAGCGGATAATGCGGTCGCATAGTCAGGCTTGATGAGCGAACCCAGATGGCGACGTCATCGTGGAAAAGTTATGTAGCTTTAAACGTTTATAGGCACGTTCATAACCTGAACTTTTATAATGAACTACTTCCATGTCACCTTTCTGTCGGTTTCTAAACGGCTCGGCTCATCCACCTTCGCTTAGTGGAATGACTCACAATTTTTAAATGTACATTATTTGTTTTCACTAGAACGCTCGCTAAATTCAAAATATATAGCAAATGTAACCAGATGTAGCGTCTGAACATGTCGCCCAGTGAGCCGGTATTACGAGAAATTTATCTAGTGCACTGAAACGCCGGGCCCGCCTAAACTCTCTATGTAGTGTCCTTTTGACGCTTACAGAAAATGAGAGTCAATGCACGCACCCGACAGCAGCGCCCCGATGGCGGCACCAAACGCGAGGATGTCGGTGAACCATCGGTTCTGCGGCGCCTGCTTCATTCGGTACCAGGACTCGCTTTCAATGGAAGGCATGGCGGCCGAGGCAAAGCCCAGCGTGGTGCCGGCGGCGCAAGAGCAGAGGCAAGCCGTCACCATGGATCTGACGTGGCGGCCTCGCATGCCTGTGCTGTCCTGGTCGCTGGCAGGGGTGCCACCTTTAGCGACCTTCTTCAGGTTGCGTAGTGCCTCCATTGCTGCGTTAGCGGCTGGCGTTGCTTCTGGCTCCAGAGGTGGACTTTCGGAACCTGCCGAAGCCTTGGCCACATCCTTCGCAGGCGACTGCATCATCGAAGAGTTCTTGGACATAACCTTTGACGTCACGTTCGACGTTGCTGTCGAAGGCACGTTCGAAGTTACGTTTGATGGTGCTGCGGAGGATGCTTTCGAAATCGCGGAGTCTGCCATAGTGGTCAACGCCGTGTTCTCAAGGACCGACGTTGCTTGCGCCGTAGAAGTGCGTTGCGAGCCCCCACCCTGGGACCTGCGACAAAAACGGCACTGGTGACGCTTGGAAAACACAGAGCCGAGAAATTTTTCATAAAAGGCTTCAAAGTTTTGAAGGACTTTAGGTCTGGAAAGTAGACAGGAATGCTACGCATTACTGTCTACTTCCCAGATATACGAAGGCAAAGTTTGATTTGCGTACAATTATTTAGCACCATTGAAGCGTGATATGAAGCTGGGAAAGTAGCGATGCTTACCAGCTGGCTTTCATTGCATTCCGGCATACTTGCGTTCCTTGTTATGTAAATGAGGCTTCGTAACGAAAACAATGTCTTGAACAACGCAAACATTTCTAGAAGCATTGGCCTCAAGTATACTTAATGAGACTGGCGTAGCCACATTTATGTGGCTGTTAAATTTATCTGTTCTTCTACGGTACATTCGTACGCAGCAGGTCTCAAACTCGCATCACCTGTTGGGCCATAGTCACAAAATTTAGCACCGCAAAGGCCCTGAACCATGAAGAAGGGGAAAGGAGGGAGGTGTCAGCTAACGTTGCATTTCAAAGGTACCTTTCCAATATATCGGATTATTCTCATATACGAGTCACGACTGCAGAAACATATCGATACCGATCTTCACAGTGACTGAAATCGCGATGTCAACCAAAGTATAGAGTTTGTGTGTCGCGGTTATCTTACAAGAAAAGGTGCCCGCCTTCAAAGCCTTATGAAAAAAATGTATAGCGTCAGTCACGTCTTTGTGAATTACCCGAACAAAGCCTTATTATTCGCAATAGGTCAATGAATAATGCGAGCACCATACAGCAATTTCGCAAACAGTCGTCAAGTCATTAAATAAAATTAAATGTATAGTTTCATCAGGAGTCGTGTGCCATGGGCGAAAGGTCGACGGGCCACTTGTTTGAGACCCCTGTTATACAAGATGCCTCGCTCTTCTGTTTGTTCTCTTTTGGTCCTAGCCTGACCACCTGGGTTAATTACATCACCTGTTTCTGAGTTCATTATTTGATACAGTATTGAATGATACTTACTCGGGACTGAGCTTATCTTGTCTTTTTTTCTTTCACTATTATTTGTAAAAGTGAGGCTTTAGTTTGACTTGTTTACATACACCACATGTCAAGCCTGCGGTGTATAAAAAAAACTGGCCCCGTATCTGCATGTTAATCTGCAAATGTCGTTGAAAGAAGAAGTCTTGCGTGTGGAGAGAGTGAACAAAACAGTTATTTCACGTTCTGCGCAAGAAAATCGGTGAATGGTATTCTGGAGGCGCTGCGTTAGAGTGCCTCGAGTGTGCAGCGGAGGCGAACAAGCGCATCAAGTCACGTCACACGTGTGACATAAGCGCCATCTGGCAGTTTTCTTGGAAAACGAAGCACGTGGCTCTAAGACGCGTGTGCGCGCCCGTCCTCGAGGTGATAAAATGTAGAACGCAAGGCGACGGGTAGGTGCCACCACTGTCACGTCATAGAAAAGCGTTGAAAACACTCGCCTTTTCGTGCAAGCGTTGCATGGTCAGCGCAGCGTGGTAAGCGCTGCGGTCCTTAAAATTACTTATGTATGCCTTTTCTCGAAAAAAAGACACACATGCAGAATATATACGTGCTGTTATGGTGCCCCAGACATGCTCAATAATTGCTTTTTAATTGACGATTGCACAGGTATAAACGCTAAACCTTAAGCAACATCGGTGGGCGCTGCAGATGGCGTCGGCCGTTTCAAATACCTGGTGCTGTTAGGAGTAGACAAATGAACAAATGTACAGACAGACAGACAGACAGACGAAAATTTTTGCGTTGAAAGTCCCCAAGAAAAACTATCGTCTTTAAAACATTCGGTGTATGCGACAGCTTTCCAGCACCAATAATGCATCTCCTAAGCATATGATCATGCTTTGACTGCTGTCAGCTGGCGATGTTCATCATCAAGGTGCATCGAAAGTTGTTTCATTACCATTCTGATGGCGGCTATTCACCTGAAGAAGGCTTTGGGAACAATTCCCTAATCTTTATCTCCTACAAGCCGTTTTGTGTTCGGTCTTGCTTCCATTAGATGTTTCTAATACCGTTGAAGTCCACATAAAAGCATTGAAGTGATATATACGACCCTAGTGACTTATGATGGGGGTAAATTAAACAAATACACCTCATGTCACTTGATTCATGCGTGAAGTGCAGGGTATAGTCAGGACATTAGATCTTTTTCGTTTCGTTTCTCGGTTATATTTAGCACCTCAGCCGGGACAAAGATCTGTAGATCTCTTACTGAAAGCAGCCTACTTACAAAAGCAGATCAGCAGTTGCTATTCTTGTACGTTCTTGAGTAGCTACGATGCGAGAACTTTAATCATCAACTTTGTGTTTTTTCTTTGGCTTGTAGATTTTGTGACTCACGCAATTCGCTAAGTCTCAGTTCCATAATTGTGTTCAACAAGCCAGCTGGCATTTGAACGCGTGGTCACCACTGTAAGTGCACTGTGCAGATCAGCACACGACTTCATTTTGCGTGAATTCTGTACCACGAAACGCAACTGGCGACGCCTAAATTAGGAAACATGAAGAGGTGGAACAAAGTTCGTCCATTTAATTGATTTTTAGATATTAACCCTCCAAACATACCACGAGAGTGTGAGGAACGCAGCGCATGGATAATACGGAGTATATTTAACGTGAATTAGTTCTTCAACGTATGCGTAAATCTAAATAATTTTAATGCGTATCTCACCAAAATGCCGTCACCACAGCTTGGATTAAACTCGCTGCCTTAAGTTTAAACAAGCGTGACAAACCTCAACTCAGAATACAGGTCCGTAAAGTTGGTTCACAGCCCACCAGCTTTTCGCTTGTCTCAACTTTTCTCTCTTCCTTTCAATAACCAGGCCTGCCGTCGTTGCTTAGCAGGTAAGGTGCGTCGCAGCCTAAGAACGCAGATGATTGCTGGCGATTCCCGGGGTGCAATTACTTGCCACGGTGACCGTATTTAAATGGGGTGAAAAGGCAAGAACTGTGGCTTACATATGTTTCGGTGCATGTCAAATAACTCCAGGTGGTCAAAACATATCCCCGCCCTTGCAATTAATCTAATAGCGTAGTTTTTTTTCTTGTAAAGCTCTAGAATTTATTTATTCTCTATTCGTATACACCACGCTGTATATGCTCGCTTCTCGAGGTAAGGAGACTCGCGACTAGTGGCACGTAGGCATGGTGAAATGAACATGCCAGAGCTTGCTGAAGGAAATGAAAAAAAGTACGTCAAAGAATATCTCAAAAAGTTTGTGCTATCAAGAGTGCTCAATACTTGCGTACGCATCAGATTTCTTCTTCGAGGACGACTTGCGTTTTTTGGGCATGGTTGGCAGAGTCTGGCCGTGCAGCACGAATCAGCTTCCTCTTCTTCGTCTTATTCTTCTCTGTCAATTTTAGCACGAGTTCCCGCAGTTGATGATGGTAATGATGATGCCTCAAACATGTCTCATATCCGTTTAGAGGGATCAGCGAGGAATTAATTGTATGATTTAGTGAGACTTTTTTTAGTATTGAATATCGATAACCAAAAGAAAAATGACGTATATGTAAAACATAAAGACGCAATACATGATTTCACCCGTTCTGCTCGGACAGTTTAGTCGTTATCTTGTCTTGTCTTGTCTCCTAGGAGTCTTTATCTTGAGCAGAAATTAAAGCGAGCTGACGTCGTCTTTTTCTGAAGTTATTTTTATGATCTAAAAGGAAGTAGCTGGCTAGAGCACCGATAATCTAGTTATTTTCTTAATAGGTATTCTTGGCTTGTGCTGTATATAAACTGGGAAGTTTACAAAGAGAAGTTTAGGGGTTGCGGATGATTGACGTGAAGGTTCATTCCAAGTGAAATTACAGAACTTCTAGAGAAGGTGATGACGATGACGACCATTGAGATGGTGTATACTGCAGTGTCTAGAAATTTTATGTGTACCATCATTATTGTCGTCATCGTTGTCACGTTCTCTACTTCCTTCTGTTAGACACTGTACTTCTGTCGTCATAATTGTCGTCATCGTCGTCGCTTTCTTTACTTGTATACTTCCCAGTTTGTATTCTTTGATCCTTCACTAACAGCCACATCAGAATTCAAGCACTTACTGTATCATTGGAATAGTAGAATATGCAACGCACGAGAAATCGAAGTCACAATCGTTAGACGGCGCTGTCGAATTCCGCAGCTTACTTTATATTTACACAGAGCTGGTCTGGCAGCCTCCCCTCACTGTCCTGTTTGTGGAGTAAATGAGTCAACTGAACATTATCTCATTTCTTATAATAGATTCTCTGCCTTACGCAAAAACACTTTTGGTGCCATTTTCCATCTTCTCGGAATCGATTTAAGTGCACAAAATGTGCTTTCTTTCGGGGCTTTGTCTCTTGGCCACAGCGACGGGAAGATTGTTGACGCATTGCAGGAGTTCGTCAAAGGTTCAAAGAGGTTTATGTGTTCAATACGTTCTTCGGTAGATTTTAGGACTTTTCCAAATTCACTTTAAGTCAAATTCGCCGCTTTATTGCATTACAGTACAGATTATTTACTATTCTA